AAAATAAGTAGAGTAATATCCTAACGTAGCCCCAAAACCCCAAAACCCCAAAACCCCGACTAGCTGTATTACAATAATTTTGAAGAGTAATTCAAACTTAGAAATATTAATTTATATCCTGAGATGATATAATTAGATATACATATGATTTGCGTTGCTCATACACCTCCTTTCAATACAGTAGCTATTTTTCTGTTGTTAACATCTCTCACTGGAATCAAGACTGCGAAATATGTAGTAAAGAGTGACATTATGATCATAGAAATGAACAAGTAAGTTGGGAACTAAAGGAAATTGTAAATAAAACTAATGTTGACTTACAGATAGTTTGAAGGGTAGTTCGATAAAAAGGTAGAATTAAGCTGTCAGTGTAATTGCGACTGTCAGACCGACTACAATACCCAGAGTCAAAGCTCCAAAAATAACTGCAAATGCCTCATACATGAAAACTCTCTTTGTCTATTCTTTGGTTAGGCCAATAGCTCTGATGACTCCAAACTCCCACAAGTTCTCTTTAATATTTGATGTAGTTGAAATTAACAGTAAGAAGAAAGAGAGAGTAAGTGCAATGGTTCCCACAATAATTACGAAGATCTGGAAAAGTAAGAGGGAAGAGTTGATTGAGTCAAGCAAGCTCTTTCTGTCCAGTAAAATAGTAGTATCATCTCTGAAATAGGATCTGACACCATTGGCAATATACTCTCTTCTGTAGTCATCGATGTTTGGCTTTAGCTTGATGAAAAGATATTCCTTTGGAATGCCATCGGTGAAGTTATAGTCTCTGATTAAGTTTTGATAGGAATTTTTCATGTCTTAGTTAGCGTTAAGGAGATCATTAAGAAGATCCAAATACTGCTCATTTGAAATTAGGATAGAGCCGAAGAAGGCAATTTGTCTGTATGACATGAACAAGAAACCAGGGATTTTAGTGATCATAGCTCTGATCTTGGCTCTGTATACATTAGCGCAGGAGTCGGTACCGTTGTATTAATACCTAGCGCAGATTCTAGCTTGTGTCTAAGTATCGAGTGAAAGAGCATCTCTGAATCCTTCAGGAGCTAAGATCTTTATTTATTCAGTGAAGTTGCTCTGAGTCTACCAGTTGTAGCCAACTGTAATGTTGAATGGATCTCTGGTTCCATCATCAAAATCTAGTCCTTAGTTACTGAATAAGGCTTCAACTGAATCATAGTCTCCACTATCTAATTTTTAGAGATTAAGCCCTGATTAAGTTTCTCTAGGCATATAGTACTCTGTATTGACAACCTTCAAGAAATTCTTTTGTAATCCGAAAACCTTAGTAGCTACTTGATTATAACCACAAGCTGATCCTAGGTATATCTTCTAAACAGAGTTGGAATTAGGTGCTACCATTTTGAGAAGTTCATTGATATCTCCAGTTGCAAATGAGTAGGAGTGGACAGAACCATCCTTTAACTTTTGCTCTTCTAAGAATTGAATAAGAGGACCTTCATCAATGAAATTAAGTTTGCTGGCAATGGAGGTAGCATATAGGTCAGATCCAACTGTGCTCTCAAGTTGTGAGATGATCATATGACCAATTAGCTCGAAGGTAGAGCCAGCAAAGATCAAGAAGGATAGAGCGATACAGAACATCATAGCAGTCTTAGTGTTTCTAGCTTCATGACCTTGCAAGTTCTTTCTGATAACTTAGTATAGATTTTTGTCCTTTCTCATGATTAAGATGAAAATCTTAACAAAAAGAATTTGAATGTAAGGCAAGAGTAGGATAGATACAAAAGCCAATCCCAAGATCATAAGAATCAAGATAAAGTTCAAGATGAAGAAGAAAAGAGAGTAATTTTTGTAGATGAATGCCATAGGAGCAACATAGTAAGTGAGCACACCAAGGAAAACAAGCATTATGGAGACAATCAATTGATTGACTGAGAGCCCCATCTCCTCAAGTCTCTTAATTGAGACAGTGAGTTCATTGACTGATCTGTGATAGAGATCGAGTGACACTCTGAGGTTCTTTGAGAGAGCTTTCTGAATGGGGATAATATTTGCAACAATTGGCAATAAAATACCTAGTAAACTTCCAAGCACTATGGCTCCTGGTGAAAGATTGTAGTCAGTGGTATTTTCAGCGTAGACAAAGATTAAGTATCTGACAATCAAATTCATAAAGTAAGCAACCAAGATTCCACTCAGTAGGCCTGGAATTGAGAATGAGAAGGATTGCATAGAGATGAGTCCCATCAAACTTTTGTTCCTAAATCCAAGAGCTCTAAGCATACCGTAAGAGTAAGTCTTCTCATCAACATCTGAAAGCATGAGAGAATAGATGAGCACTACTGATAAAATACCAAGGAAGAACACGACTGTTCCCATTGAACTTGATAAGAAGATTCTAACCATACCAATTTGCTTAACTTGGGTCATAAGAGGGGTTGACATGGTAGCATTAGTTTAAAGACTGACTCTGTCAACAATAGCTGTACCTTTTTTGGCAAGTTCATTTTCCATTTCTCTGTCATCAAGAATATAATACTTAACTCCTTTAGTTAGAATACCCTCAATCTATAGAGCATATGGACATAGATCAAAATTAGCTGGGATAAAGTTTTCAAAGTCTGGATAAGAAGAAATAAGTAGATTGAACATGGTTGGGTTGATGCCTCTGAAACTTTCAATGAATCCACCATATAATTCTCTCAATTTGTGGCCTACAGAGTGGCAATCAATAAGAGCCACATTTCCAAGGGTGTCTGAAAACTTTCCATTTGGGCTGTCGAATCCTTCTACGACTTGATACTTGGCAGTTATCTTTGTAGGAATAACTCCATTGGCCAATAGTTCTTCAACGATTGGGTCAAGATTCAATCTGACTGTAGTAATGTTCCTGTTGCTGAGGAAATTCTTGACAAAAGTGTCTACTGTGATATTAATATCTTCGTTGATGAAGTTTGCTGGATTTATTGTTATATTTCCAACCTAGGCTGAAACATTAGTTAGATTTAAATTTCCAATATATTCAGTAGAGTTAATGTTGAAGTTCAATCCAGCTATTCCGAGGGATGAAAGATCAATATTTTATCCGTTCAAGTTAGTGGCATTCACTGTGAAGCCTGCTAGATTAAGGTCTGGTAGCAAGTCATCTATTTCTTATTTGCTGAGGGAAAGATTGGTGGTTCCAAATACATTTAAGAAATTTCCAAGTTGATCAGTTACATTTACTTCAATTGTATTGTCTGCTGCTATATTGAGACCTGAAGCTCTTAGTAATGAGTAGACTTGCTATTTGGAGAAAGTTCCATTTTTTAGAACAGAATCAACTGTCTTAGGGTCTAGTTCTCCTCCTAGAGTCTAGTTCAAACTATCATAAATTCCAGACTCAGCACCACAGACTCCCAAAATTTGGCAGAACATCTGATAAGAGAAATAAAGCTCAACCTGTTCTTTATTCTGTGGATTAACACCAAGGTATCTGAGTGCAGAGTTAGTCACCATTATGTCATTCTCTCCGAGAATAGTTTGTGAGAAATATCTTCCCAAACCGATATCTACTTCTTTCTTTGAATCCTAGAGAAATTAATTTAGATATTTATGAATATTTACTATAACAAGTAGCAGAGAAGAACTGTTTAAAAGTGGGTTTGAAATGTTTCTCAATTTAGTAATGAGAGTCCATCTAGGCGCAAATCCCTCAAATCCGCTCAAGTTTTTAAGTTTCTTTTCAAAAACGTCAAATTTCAAAATTTTAAATCCATCTACATCGACAGCATCTTCTTCATCTGTCAAGCCTTTTCTTTAATTTGTGTATTTCTGGACACTAGGATCAGTGTTGTTGTACCAAGATGGGAAATCAGCGCTATATAGATATTACGTCATTGAATGAATATTACTAGAAATTACGATTTCCGTCCTCGAAAGCGGAAGTTGTAGTGGGTGTTAATCTGAAATCAATAGCTCCTGACTGATCTTAACCGATCTTTACGAATGCAACTGGAGCAACATCAACTGCACTTTTAAGTAAGGTCAAGAATGAAACGACAAGGAAAATTGTAAAGACTCCAATCTAGAACGACCTTTACTTCTTTTTCTATTCTGATATCAAGTAAGTAAGGATAGTGAGGAATGTTGGCCAGCATTTATTTGTCTTTAAAATCTCTTCTTCAGTTTATCTCTTTCTAGGATGCTAGATATCAGCATCATCATCAAATATACTGGCTTTACGCCTCCTAACAATCTTCAGGTTGCTTGAAGAGCTGCCAATATGATCTTATAAACCTTCAGACATGACCGGGGTCTGATTATCGTACATATTTGGCTTTAGATCGTATAAGCCGCTGCTCTCTAGGGGATGATTCGCAACCTACGTCTTCTTGCCCATATTGCTTGACTTGCTTTTATTTGTGGAGTCGCTCTTAATTCCCTCCGAGTCAAGTGGTTCAATCTGTCTTTTATTGTTTTTATTTTTCTTGCCTTTGTCCTTCGATGTATTTGCATCATCGAAGTAATTGTTTTTCTTCATTTAATAATACTAATAGATAATAAAGATAAATCTCATCTTTTACTTATGTCAAATCATTTTATCTATTGGACAAGAGGGGTTTTGGGGTTTTGGGGTTTTGGGGTTTTGGGGTTTTGGGG